CCCGGTTTCACCAAAAAGAAAGGTATTCTTATTGCTTGGTCTGAAGAAGAGGGAGACAGGCCATGTGACCAGAGCTTCCTTGCAGAAGTACAGGAGTGAGTGAGGAGGCAGAGGAAATGTGAGGAGATAGGTATGAGGATAGGGGTGGTGAGGGTGGGTGAGCAGGTTACTATTGTCTTATTTGAGTCATTTCTACGGCTCAGCAACACAAGGCTTGCTTGAAGCAGGAGAGTATTTTTGGTCCAGAGCATAAGCCCGGTAAAGGGAATGTTTATGGATTGCATGCCTCCAGGATTCCTTGGTTTGTACATGAAAAGAGGCAAGCGGTTGTTTGCTATTTCTAGGAATTAGCCTTGGGAGGCTGGTCTTTCCAAGGTTTGTAAGGCTCTAAGTGATGATGAACCTTTTAGAGTTTTTCAAACAGCAGTGGTATGTGTGTCATAGGTTCACCACCACTGCCTTAAGACGTCAAAGATACTTTGAGTTTATTTTGTTTTATAGGTTCTTTAGGTAGAATCTTGTGTCATGAATTTATATCTTTGTTTCTGATATGGTCAGGAGACATAAATGAGTCATGTGCTCTAAATTCTTTGTGTCTTGTTTAGCCTGTGGTCTCTCACGGAGAGTGTGTGATGTCACCTGAGGATAATGATTAGTCTGAAATGTTGTTCAGATAGTTGTGGCTGAGGGAGCAGTGGATAGGTTCTAGTATTGCTGATTATAGAGATAGGCATGTTGAAACATTGTACTCTGGGGAATTTTCTTCTTACCCCTTTTGATACCTTTTGCTACATGTGTTTGGAACCTGTGTTTAATATTAAACATCTATGATTATTATATTGTCTTCATCATTTGCCTTGTTACGAAATGCTTCTTTCTTATCTGTATACATGCTAATCATATTTTATTTATTTATTTATTTGTTTGTTTGTTTTTGGAGGAACTGGGGATTGAACTCAGGCCCTTGTGCTTGCCAGGCAAGTGCTTATTCTTCTGAGCTATCTCCGCAGCCCTCTGTTTTATTTATTTATTTTAATTTTTTTTTGTATTTTAGGGAAGGGTCTACAGGGTGTTCAGGGTCTCACTACTAGATCAGACTCATAGTGATCCTCCTGTTTATAGCCTCCCAGGAGCTGGGATTACAAGTGCGTGGCAACATGCCCAGTCTCAATCACTACAGCAGGCCAAGCGATCAAACCTTGGCCCCTGATCCTGCTTGCAGTCGCTTTAATCTGCTGAGCTATTTGGCTGGCACTTTGTTTTGTTTTAATTTGGAGAGGATAGTGAGGATTAAAACCAGGGCCATAGGATTTAGCTACATTCCCAGCTTTTTTTTTTTTTTTTTTTTTAATACAGGGTCTCACTACACAGTGCCTCCGCAGTGTTGGAATTACAGACTTGTGTGCTACCTCACCTGGGTGCCTTATGCTTGTCAGGCAGGCACTTATGCTGCCAATAATTGCCCCAGCTTTTTTTTTTTTTTTTTTTTTTTGAGGCAGATTCTTCTTAAATCTCTAAGCTGCATAGGTTGGGTCCTCCTTTCTCAGCCAGCCTGTACTACATAGTGAAACCCTGTCTCAAAAGAAAAGAAAAAGATCCTCTTATGAGAAACCTAAAGGTACAAATAATTTAAAGAACAAAATAAAAGATAATAAGAAAGAGAGATAAATCTTTACCAGATGGGAAAGAGGACCAAGTAATGGAGAGAGTAAAGAGGGAGGGAAAAGGAAGAAGTCATAAAAAGATATTAAAATGTATTCTGTACATGCACCAGCTTTCTATAATAAATGCAGTTAGTATGTACTGTAAACATATACTAATAGAAATTTGTAAAAGTTAAAAAAATTAGCAGTTACCTATTCTAGTGGTTTTAAAAAACTTTCTTAGATGTAATTAGTAATTTTTTTTTTTTTTTTTTTTGTGGAACCAGGGATTGAACTCAGATCCTTGAGTTTGCCAGTCAAGCACTTATCCTACTGAGCCATCTCCCCGCCCCAGTAATTCTTTTTGTTTTTAAATTTCTAACTTTCTTTTTTAAACTATTTTTAAAAAATTTTTATTTATTTATTTATGTGTGTGTGTGTGTGTGTGTGTGTGTGTGTGTGTGTTTGTGTGGCCAGCTAAGCCCACCAGGGGGCGGGCTGGCTGGCATGTGGACATGCTGGGGGAAGGTGCTTTAGACCACTGAGCCATCTCACCAGCCCCATTAAATTTCTAACTTTTTGGAGATAAAATCTTGCTTTGTAATTCAGGCTGGCCTTGAACTCATTATCTAGCCCAGGTTCACCTCAAATTTGCTATTTTGCTCTGACTTAGCCTCCCAGTCACTGGGATGATAAGTGAGTGCTACTACAGCTGGTTTTAGTTATTATATTGAAGTGGGACACGGTGGTGTGTCCCTGTAATCCCAGTATGTGGTAGACTGAGGCAGGAAGATTACTGCGAGTTTGAAACCAGCCTGAGCTACAAAGTGAGCTCAAGGCCAACTTGAACTGCATAGCAAGAAAGAAAAAAAATTATATTGAAACTTTTTCCAACATTTTAAATTTGCATTAATGATCAGCAAGGTTTAACAGTCTAATAAGAATTGTTTTTCCCAGTTGGTTTAGGAAGTTTTAATTGTGAATCTGAGGACAAATCTGAATATATGATAACATTTGGGAGTTACATGTTTTCTATAATTTAGACAGCAGTGGAAAGTTTAGATGATGAATGGGATTCTCTGTTTTGTATCATGGCATAAGGCAGTGATGGCAAACATTTTAGAGCTTTCAGAAACAGACCACTGTTGCATATATGACATAGGTTCACCACCAGTAACATAAGGTATTTTTGGACTCAGTCCCATGTAACTGTGCAACATTTTAAAGTTTAGATACCCAGTATGGTGGTACATGTCTATAATCCCAGGTTGAGCCAGGAGGATTACTGGGAGCTGGTGACCAGCCAGGGCTGTGTGGTGAGTTCAAGGCCAACTAGACACTGACTCAAAGAAGGAAGCAAAACAGAACCAACAGAAGTTTAGATGAGGTAGTGAAAATGGTGCTGCTAAACAGTAAGAGAAACGAAGATTGACATACTGGAAGAGAAGAAATCTAGGCTCTGGGGCTGGGGATATAGCTCAGTGGCACAGTACTTGCCTGGCAAGCACACGGTCCTTAGTTTAGTTCCCCTTTTCCACCTCCCCCCAGAAGGAAAAGAAATCTAGGCTCTTATTAAATTTACTGTTTCATCTTAATTTCTCACTCATAGTCTTCCTTTCAAATTCATGTGTTTTACCGCATTGTATGTTGCAAACTTTTTGAGAACAAAATAAGGGAGAAATGAGTAGTCCAGTGTGGCCTGTGGGAGAGCATTCCTTTTTTTTTTCTTTTCTTATTTTTTGCGGAACCGGGGATTGAACTCAGGCCCTTGTGCTTGCCAGGCAAGCACTTATTCTACTGAGCCATCTCCCTGGCCCCCAACATTCTTGCTAGTAGGACAGCTAATGAAAGTTATGCTTTCATTTTTTTTTTAATATTTATATATGTTCATTTTAAATTTGGGGGTGTTGGAAGAGAGCTACCTACACAGTAACTTTGAGTATCACTGTGTGGATTGAGTAAATGATTAAACCAGTTCCTTCCTTCAGAAAGGATGTTGGTACATGTAGGACCATGCCTTCTTGATGAAATCAAAGTTCAAAGTTTTTGAGATTTGACCTTTTTTTTGTGCTAGAGATTGAAGTGAGTTTGGTTCTTTATTATAGGAGAAAACAGACCTACTTGACTATAATAATTGTGTCCAGTCTTAGATAGCAAAGAAATGCAGGTAAATTTTTTTAGTTGCTGGAGTTGAACTCAGGGCCTTATTACTGAGCCACATCCTCAGTTCTATCTATCATGTATCTGTCTGTCTATCGCTACTGGGGATCAAACTCCGGACCTTGCACTTGCCAGGCGCTTATGCTGCTGAGCTGTATCCCTGGTCCTGTCCTTTTTTATTTTGCGACAGGGTCTCATTAAATCACTGAATTGTCCAGGCTAGGCTTGAATTTGTAATCCTCCTCCTTTGGTCTCCCTTGACCATTTTGGGGTTACAGGTATGTACCTGGCTAAAATGTACCTCAGTTCATGAATTTAATTCTTGCCATGACTTTGTTACAAACCAAATTGTTCAAGACCTGAATCAAATTTTCCCATAAAGTCAATAGTGAACCTCATCACTGAATTTGATGTATTTCTTCTCCAATATGGTTTATGACCAATATGGTTTGTGGAGAATTGTGGAAGATACCATAGTACTTTGTTAAGAAACCGTTAAGGGCCGATCAAATAGCTCAGCAGATTAAAATGCCTGTGTAGGCAGATGCAGGGGTTGGGAGTTCGATCCTGACTGGGGTTTGATCCCTGGTGTTCCATACTGGCCCTGCCCCTAGGGCGCACTGAGATGGCAGTTAAGACTGGGCTGGACATGGTGGTGTGCACCTGTAATCCCAGCTATTGGGAGGCTGAACTCAGGTGGATCACTATGAGTCCAGTCTGTGTACTGAGTCCCTGTAGACATTTAATAAAATACCAAAAAAAAAAAAAAAAGGTTGTTACTAGTGCTCTTTGGAAGATTACACATCATTGAGAACAGTTATTTTATGAAGAATGTTTTGAATTTTTTAAAAAATGTATTTAGTACAAGGTGTATAAGGTCTTACTACACATATCTAACTCATAGTGAACCTCCTGTTCAGCCTCCCAAGAGCTTTGATTACAGGTATGCACCACCACGCCCAGTCTCAGCACATTCCAGGAACAGGCCGGCACAGCAGGCTGGGGTCTGCCTAAGCAGGTAATTTAATCTGCTGAGCTATATGGCCAGCCCTCTGTTTTGAACTGTTGATGGAGGGAACTAGTACAAATACTTTTCCCATATTTTCAGTTTTGAAGATGCAGGGAAAATGTTATACTTTTTGTAACCTGAGAAAATCTTTTCAATGACTTCTATTTTTAATTTTTATTTTTTTAAAGAGATGTGAACTGTGTCCCCATAAGGATGGAGCTTTAAAAAGAACAGACAATGGGGGTAAGTAATGAGTTAAAATTTCTGTTGAAAGTTAGAATGAGTCATAATTATTTTAAAATGTTTGGTAGCTTATTTTTTTATATTATTTTTATCAACTTAAATAGTGCTTATTTTACTCAGTTTTAGAATGTGGATGTAAGTTACTAATTTTTTCTACTTTTTAAAAAATTTTTATTTATTTATTTGTGTGTGTGTGTGTGTGTGTGTGTCCGTCCAGCTCAGCCCACCAGGGGGCGCGGCTGGCTGGCATGTGGTGCAGGGGGATTGAACCGTGGTCGCCTGTGCTTTGCTAAGCTTGTTCTAAGTAGGTGCTTTAGACCACTGAGCCATCTCACCAGCCCCACTAACTTTTTGTCTGAAAATGATTATCCTACTTCGTAGATGAACACTGGTTACTTGATGCAAAATGATTGCATACTTCTAATTAAAATCTTAATTTCTTTTGTGTTTTGAGATGGGTCTCACTGTGTTTCCAGGCTGATAATTGTCTTCAAGATCCATCTTTTGTAGTTGGGATTGCAAGCATGTGCATCTCACCTGGTGTGGGTTTTTTTTTTTTTTTTTGGTGGAACCGGGGATTGAACTCAGGCCCTTGCGCTTGCCAGGGAAGCACTTATTCCACTGAACCATCTCCCTGGTCCCTGATATGGTTTTTTAAATGGAAACTAAATTTGAAACTTGAAAAATAAGCTGCATTCTATCTTTTCAGTAAATGCTAATTTGACACCCTAGGATTTGTGTTGCTTGACTATGTAGAAATGCTGACTTCTAGCATTACATTTTGATATTCTTTCCTGAATACTTTAGTAGTCCTAATCTGAAAATCCCAACTATGAAATGCTCTCAAATCCAAAAGTTTTTGAGCACTAATTTTGGATATAAGAGCACTTCAAATTTGAATTTGGATTTGGGAAGCTCAGTTATGCAAATATTCTAAAATCTGGAAATCTCCGGAATTTGAAACACTTCTCTTTCCAAGCATTTTAAGAGGGGAATAAGTAACCAACAGTCATCTCCATTCCTACTTTTAGTTGGCTTTTTCAGAGAAATTTTTTTTATAGCTTAATACACATAGAAATATGTAGATATGACATTTATTAAATGATGACATACTGTGAAAATTTAACTTATGAGAAACTTAACATAGTTTATTGCTGATCATATGTTAAGGTCATATGTTTTTATTTTACCCTGTCAGGAATTATACTCGTGCATTTTGGAGTTAAATCAACCTTTTTTTTTTTCCTCTAGAATTACTTTAATTATTGTGAGATTCAGTTGGCTAATGTTTTGTTTAGAATTTTTGGCATCTGATCCTGAAATTGAAATTAGGCTGTGATTTTCCTTATAGTCTTACCCAATTTGGGCATTTGTATATTGCTGTTCTCAACAAGTTGGGAAGTATTTCCTTCTGTTTACTGGAAACATTAGTATAAGATGGGCATTGTGTCATCCTTACATGTTTGGTAGGATTTATTGCTAAATCTGTATTTGGAATTTTTTGAAGGTTATATTTATAGATTTCTTTCTTTTTCTTTGGTAGAGAGGATTGAACCCAGAGCCCTTTGAACACTTGGCAAGTGCTATACCACTGCAGTGCATTCCTAGCCCTTTAAAGATTTTTAAAATTTTTTTTGGTAGTGGAAATTGACCTCAGGACCTCATGCTTGCCAGGCAAGTCTTGTTTTGCTGAGCTATACTCCTGGCCCTAGCATTTTTTTTTTTTTTTTTAACTAAGTTTATTGACATGTTTTAGGTATACATAATGATCACATTCAATATAGGGAGTTTTTACCTGTATATGGTATAATTTGATTCTTTTTAATTTTTTTCCCCATTTCCCTATCCTCCCTTCAGTTCCTTTTAAATTTTGAGATAGATTCTCACTAAGTTGAGTTGCCAGAGCTGTCTTTGAATACTTAATCCTCTTGCCTCAGCCTTCTTTTTTTTTTGTTTTTAATGTATTTATTTTATTTGTGCGTGTGTGTGTGTGGCCAGCTCAGTCCGCCTGGGGGCGGGGCTGGCTGGCATGTGGTGCTGGGGGATTGAACTGTGGTCCCTGTGCTTTGCTAAGCTTGTTCTAAGTAGGTGCTTTAGACCACTGAGCCATCTCACCAGCCCTTAGCCTTCTGAGTAGCTGGGATTATAGGTGTGTGCTTCTGTGCCCAAAACTTAAAAATTTCTATTTTTTATTGTGATTGGTTTTGTTAAGTTGTAGTTTTTTGGCAACTCATCCATTTTGTTTGTTTTGTTTTTGCACAACCAGGGATTGAACTCAGGCCTTTGCGCTTGCCAGGGAAGCACTTATTCCACTGTGCCATTTCCCCAGTCCCTAACTCATCCATTTTGTCTAAATTTTATTTTATTTTTTGTATTTTAGGACAGGGTGTACAAGGTCTCACTGTGTAGATCAGACTCCTACTGATCCTCCTGTTTACAGCCTCCCAAGTGCTGGGATTATAGGCGTGCACCACTACGCCCTGAGGTCTCAGGGTGTCCCAGGGGGTGGGGCTGGCATGGCAGGCCTAGGGGTCGAACTCCTGGCCCCTGCGTCTGCCTAAGCAGGCACTTTATCTGCTGAGCTATTTGGCTGGCCCTCATTTTGTCTAAATTTTAAAGTATGTTGGCTAAAAGATTTTTGTTTGTATTTTGAGCAAGTTCTATTGGTTAATAATGGGCATATGCTCTTGAGATAAGTATCACTGGATGATTTCGTCATAGGAGCATAGGGTGTCCTTACAAGGGTTGATCAAAATGTATAGTGAATAGTTAAACTAGGAAATTTTATTACAGTGAAAGGCCATCAATCCCAAGAATATTCCCTCTTGCTTTGAGCACTTATCCATTGTTCTGACCATTTTCTAAAACAGTCTGGAGTCCTTGTTCATGTTTTTTTTTGAGATGAGATAAAAAAATAAAATGTTCTCAGGTGTCATCCAACAGAAAAGTAAGCTCATACAAAATTATTGTGTGTCATTAGTCAATGGAATTGGCACTGTGTGACATCTGGTTCTTCCTAAAAGTCGAAATGATTGAGAAAGTGAAATGGTTTAAATTGATTTAGGACATTGAGGCATTTGCAGCAGTACAGCTAAACACATGAAAGAGGACTTTCAGAACTGCTTCAGGAAGTGGCAGACATTGGTTAAAGTGTTTAAAGTGAGGGAGTATATTTGAGGGGAATGACTGATAGTGTGTCTTTTACTGTAATATATTTTAAAAAATTTAAACATTTATTTATAACTTGATTAGACCTTGTACATAAACCTAGGTGATACAGCCTAATGCCTTTATCACTTAAGTTTTATGGTGTAACCTCTTGATCCCTGGCTAAAATCCTGTATCTGTTACTGTATTGAATCCTCAAGTCAGTTGTACCAGGTACTTACAGTTGTAAGTATTGGTGTAACAGAAAGAGGACAGAAGAGATAAAATGGCACCCTGCATAGGCACTTCTGTGAGTGGCGCTGTGGGACTGCACGTGGCTCTGGTTGAGTCATTGTGTGCAGCGAGGATGAAGGCCTGGGGCATGACCCTGTGTGACTGGACTCTTGGTTTGTTCCATAGTCTAGTGAATGTAGTTAGGACAGGACTTTATTTTTATTTATCGGGATGATTATATTGGTTCTTTATTTAGTGGCTTGTTTTAGCTGTCATCATTTGTGCCATTTTCTCTCCTATTTCTCTGACACTGGTTACATGTATAATAGGCTTACATATTTTTTGTCTTTTGTTCCCTTTTTATGTTTCTTTATACTTTGTGCTAACATTCTAGATATTTTCTTTTGATCTATTCTGTTGTCCACTAAATCCTTTTTTATCCATACCTAAATCATTTTTAATAAGCCACTTATTTCTTACTTTTTACTTTTAATTTATTTTTTAAGGTTATTATGTAACCCAGGCTGGCCTTGATCCTCCTGCTTCAGCCTCCTGAATGGCTGTTTTGCTTTTTTTTTTTTTTTTTGTGGAACCGGGGATTGATCTCAAGTCCTTGCGCTTGCCAGGGAAGTGCTTATTCCACTGAGCCATCTCCCCAGCCCTTGGTTTTGTTTTTTGAGGCAAGATATCCAAGCTAGCCTTATTGCTTTCAGTGATCCTCCTGCCTTAGCCTCCTGAGGGCTGGGATTATATATGTGCAACACCATCCTTGCCTCCATATAAAAATGGAATTCTTATGATGTATAGTTTTTAGTTTTACTGCAACAATTGTTAAACTTTTCTTGAATACATTTTTTCATATGCATTTGATCATCATAAGCGTAACTTCTTTATAAAACAGGGCCTTGTTATGTAGTTCAAGCTAGCTTTTAACTCCTTATGTACTATGAATTTCAGGTATCCTCCTGCTTCAGCCTCCGAGGTGTTGGAATTATAGGTGTGTGCTACCATACCTAGCACATACTTTTTAAAAAATTTTATGTATTTGGTACAGGGTCTCACTACACAGCTTGGACTTGTAGTGATCCTCTTGTTTTCATCCTCCCCAACACTGGGATTATAGGTGTGCACCACCATGCCCAGTCTTGTTGGCATCTATTTGTTTTAAAATCTCTATTAGATAACTCTAAAATGCAGATCCATTTTGATTTTTCTTTCTGCTAGCTTCCTCCCTCCCTTTCTCTCCTCTCCCTCCCCCTCTCTCTCCCTCCCCC